TGTCCTGGAACTCACTCTGTAGACCAGGCTGGCCTCGAACTCAGAAATCCGCCTGTCTCTGCCTCCCAAGTGCTGGGACTAAAGGTGTGTGCCACCACCGCCCGGCCGATTTATGTAAGTCTAAAGAGAGGTTTTTCTCAGTTTTTATTTTGTTAGGGAAGCTGATTTAGTATCTTTTGTTAGTTTTAGAAAAATTTCAGCCAGTGTGTTTATATTTCTTCAGTTTTCTATTCTTTTTCTCTTAGCATTTTTTAAAAAGATTTTTATGTGTGTGGGTGTTTTGCCTGTATGTATGTGTATGCATCGCATGCATGCCTGTTGTTCTTGGAGACCACAGGAGGGTGTAGAATCCCTTGGAACTGGAGTTACAGAGGATTGTACGTCACTATGTGGCCGATGAGAACTATACTTGAGTCCTCTGGAATATCAGCCAGTGCTCTTAACTGTTGAGCTATTTCCTCTGCCTTCTCTTGCCTTCCCAAGAGTCCAGTTTCTTGGGCTGAAGTTTTTGCATGGCTATCTCTCCTGCTTTCTCTCTTGTTTCTGTGTAGATGGTGTTAGCTGGTCTGTTTTTATGTTCCCTCATCCTTTGTCATCACTGTTTACTGATAAGACTGACAGCGGAATTCTCTTCTCTCACATCGTGCTTTTTATTTGTGCCATTTTCATTTGATGTTTGCACCTGGTTTTCATGTTTGCTAGCGTTCCTCATCTGTTCACACCGTTGTTGTATACCTTTTCCTTGCAGCAACTCTTTCAGTACATTTTCAGAGGTTTAGTCCATTTTCATCATAGTGGGAAGCATGGTGCCCTGCAGGCAGATACAGTGCTGAAGAAGGAGCTGACGAAGCATTCAAATATATGAGCCTGTGGGGATCATTGTCATTCACACCACCACAGCATCTGTGTCCTCATAGAATGCTTATCGGGTAGGGAGTGTAGGATAAGGGAAGGGAAAAGGATGCTTGGCTTTGTTGTTGTTATGTAGTCTTTGACTCCAAAACATCATGTGTGGGAAACTGTAAGCACTGAAATCACGCCCAGGCTTTTTCTGTAGGGGACTGGGTAAGTTGTAAACTTGGCTTAGGTTTTGCTGTAGCTCTCCTTACCTTATTGATGGTGGGCTTCAGTTCCTCTTGAGTGGCTGCTGTTGCTATGGAGAGTGTGGCAGCTGGGGAGGGAGCTCAGGGACTCTCAGTGTTCTTCCATCGCTACCGGAGTATCTGTACAAGACACGTTCTCGTTTTTTTTGGTTGCATTTGTTTATATTTACTTACTTACTGTGTATTTGTTTGTTTGTTTATTGTGGGTGTGTATGGAGGTCAGAAGACATCTCAGGAGAATTTCCACCATGTGGGTTTTGAGGTGTGTGTGTTACACAGAAGAGTCTGATGATGTAGCTCTGGTTGTCCTAGAACTCACTATGTCAGCCAGGGTGCCCTCAAATTCACAGAGATCTGCCTGCCTCAGCCTTCTGAGTGCTGGGATTAAATGCGGGCACTACCACCCTATTCCCCCCCAACCCCCCCAGGTTGGAGGAAAGTTGAATTATTACTGGGAGTTGTTCATTTATTTACCTTACCCCCTGGTGAGAGTTCTTTCCTTGGGTGGCTGTTTAGTCAGAATTGAAGGTGACCGGAGCCTGCTCGTGTCTAGCGCCCTCTTGTGTGCTGAGCCCACACATCCAGCTGCTTGTGTCTACTTGGTTCCTGTGGCCTCCCTGAGCCATGCTTTAGAAGTTCCCCGGGTAGAGAGCCAAGGAGCTGAAGGGCTCATCTTACTGCTTTCCTTGTCTTAGGGATCACAGTTACTAGCGGCTTGTTGTCTCATGTCTGCAAGAGTTGTTTTCTGTTTTGTGTCCAGTTTTCTATTATTTATTTATTTAGTTAGTTAGTTAAATAGTTTTTTATTGGATATTTTATTTACAGTTGAGATGTTATCCCCTTACCCCATCCCCCTCAAGGAACCCCTATCCCATCTCCCTCCTCCTGCTTCTCTGCGGATGTGCCCCCACCTACCCCTCCACTCCCACCTCCCCACCCTTGAATTCCCATACACACGGCATCCAACCTTCATGGGACCAAGGATCTCCTCTCCCACCTATGCCCAACAGGGCCGTCGTCCCTTACATACAGGTGGAGCCATGGATCCCTCCCTAAGTGCTCCCAGGCTGGTGGTTTAGACCCTGGGAGCTCTGGTTGGTTGGTTTTGTGGCTCTCCTCATGGGGCCGCAAACCCCTCAGCTCCTACAGTCTTCACTGTTTTCTATTATTTATAGTAAGAGGTTGACTATGGACCATGGGAGGACATCTAACTTAGGTGTCCTATAAAGCATTATGTAGTATTTAGGGAAAATAATTAAAAATTAATTTAAATATTATTGACTTCAAAAGAAACATAACAAGTTAAAAAAGAAAAAAATGAGAAAAAATGTCAGTGGAATTCCATATTACAAAAAAAAAAATTACAGTTCTCAGTAGTAAATATTGGCAAGTAGTTTTTCGATCTTTCTCTGGTTTTATTGAGACAGAGTTTATATGTAGACCACACTGGCCTTACTTGTTTTCAGTGATTCTCCTACCTCCACTTTTAGACTGCATGTGTTAACACACTCTACTTATGCTTTGAATCCATGGGTAGAAAAAAAAGTCTCCTTTGGACACAAAAGTGTACTTTATAAAGAAGAGTGATAGATCATACTCTTAAAATTCAGAGCTTTTTACACGGAGAAACGCTGTCTCAAAAAAAACAAAAACAAACAAAAAATTTCAGAGCTTTTTTCAGTGCTTGGTGGAATTGTTAACAAGGAAGAAACGGTTGTAATCTGAGCCAGATAAGGCGGCTCAGCCCTAGAGAGATGGAAACGGGAGAATCTGGAGTTGAAGGCTAGCTGCAGCTACACAGTGAGTCCTATATGGGACTGTCATAAGACAGACACCTAAAAAAAAATAATTAAAGAATAAAATTAAGTATTCAAAAGATCCTTAAATAAAATAAAAACAGTGAAAATGGGAGAAGATACTCACACTGTGAACATGTAAAAAACATATGTTGACCATAACAACAAAAGATGGTGGCACACGCCTGTTATACATTGCATCTGGGAGGCATAGGCTAGAGGATCTTAAGTTTGAGGCTAGCCTGTACTACACATTGAGACCTTGTCTCAAAAACAAGCAAACAAAAATTCTATTAGGAAAACCAGATAGATCTGGGAGTAGTGGCTTGTTCTTTTGGTTCTCGCAGGAAAATCACTTGAGCTCAGGAGTTTGGGGCCAACTGAGCAACATAGTAAAACAAACAAACCTCTCAAAACAAAACAAACAACTACCGGAACTCAATAAATCCATGAAAAATGCACACAAATTTAATATAACAGTAGGTGAACCACAGTAGTTGGTATTTCACAAAAAAGTAGCTGGGCCTGTTGGAGCACACCTTTAGTCCTAGCACTCAGAAGGAAGGCAGAGGCAGGCAGAGCAAGGCCAGCCTGCTCTACAGAGTGAATTTCAGGACAGCCAGGGCTACACAGAAAAACCCTGTCTCAGAAAAACTAAAAGAAAAAAACAAAAAGGGATACTTGGACAATAAATAATAGGAAGAAAAATTTCATCATAGAGAAGCTTTGAATGTTAAAAGAGACTTTGGATATTTTAAAGAGACTGAACTTTTAAGGACTAGGACTTTTTAAATTTTTATTTTTTATTCCTGAGACACAGTTTCTCTGTGTAGCCCTGGCTGTCCTGGAACTCACTCACTCTGTAGATGAGCGTGGTATCAGACTTAGAGATTGGATGTGAACTAAGTATTAAGTATTCAAAAGATTCTTAAATAAAATAAAAACAGTGAAAATGGGAGAAGATACTCACACTGTGAACATGTGAAAAACATATGTTGACTGTGGACTTTTAAAAGTTAGAATGTTTTAGATTGTGATGTTGATATTAATATGGGGTCTTGGAGATGATCTAAAAAGGAAAGGTTGGGGTCTTATCTGTTTGTGTGACATGTTGGTAGGGGGTCAATTGTCCTGATTAGTAACTTGGAAAAAATAAACTAGGACTATTCAGAGAAGTCTTTTCACACTCATTCCATTGGCAGAAGTACATTTCTTTTCACATACCCCAGGCTGTCCTGAATTTGCTCTATAGCTGAGGATGACCCTGAGGATGACTCCTGAGTGCTGGAATTATGGGTATGCCCCACCATACCTGTTCATGTAGTACTAGGATTGTACTTCCTCCCCAGCCCCTAAAAGATTTTTTTTCTTAAATGCTACAGAAAGGAGTATAAGTTGTTACAAATCTTACAGCTTAGCTAGACATTGTCTCATGATGCTAAAATGTATCTTTAAATCCTCTTCCAGTTCTCCTCTCTGTACTGACAACAGGAGTCACGTATACAAACGTTTATAGCAGCATTGTTCACATTGCTGTCTAAATTTGGAAACAACCCAAATGCCAGCAATGAGAGAAAAAAATAAAACAAGATGACGATAGGGTTGATGAGATGGCCAAGCAAGTAAAGGCCACCTAGCAGGAAAACCTGTCTTCCTGGGACTCACACAGTGGAGAGAGCTGACTTCCACAAGTTGTCCTCTGACCACCTTTGAAATGACTATAGAGCTAGCTAGTGTGAGCTACACATCTGTCAGTCAAGGCATGCTGTTCTATAATAAATCCTAGGTTTTCTTTTCCTTCCTTATTAGCTTGCTTGTTCACTCATTGCATTCACTGCAGTGATTTTGAGAAACTTTTGCCTTTCTGAAGATTAATTCACCCTTAAAACCTGGTAATTGCCTTTGAAGGTATTTAGATGTTAGAGAAACTGGTAAAAATAACATTATACCTCCTCAAAAGGAGTAGCTCTCTTGTACATAGAACTTCTACCATGTTTATTAAAATGGCTGTGAACATTATTTGTGTCATGCATAGAAATACACCTAGCCAGTGTGCACCTGACTTTAGATGACTGAGTTCTTTGTTCCCCTGTCTTACCAGGTATACAATGTTTACATGGCCGGGAGGCAGCTGTGTTCTAAGCGGTACCGGGAGTTTGCCATACTGCACCAAAACCTGAAGAGAGAGTTTGCCAACTTTACATTTCCTCGACTTCCAGGAAAGTGGCCATTCTCATTATCAGAACAACAATTAGATGCTCGGCGTCGGGGGTTGGAAGAATATCTAGAAAAAGGTAAGCCAGGCTTCATTTCTTAGCCGGCAGAGCCACTTGCCACCAAAGCTAATGACCTGAGTTCAGACTCTAAGACCCACAGGTAGAAGAGAAACAACTCACACAGCTGTCCTCTCACTGGAGTTCATTTGTAATGGTAGGTGTGTGCCCCACCTAAACGGGTGAATAGATAAATGTAAGTTTTAAAAATGTTTAAAAGGTAAGCCAGTCCATTACACTTCACTATGCTGAATGGGTCTAGATTCTAATTCCTGAATTGCATAGCTGTGTTTCCTAAACATCAGTAATGTAAGGAAACCATGTGTTTGATGAGTGTTGAACAATCTGGGCCCTGGAGGCAAGGCTGAAGTGTTCACTGTGGTGATGGTACCCGAGTTGCTAGCTTGCAGAGAACTTCATAACAGAAAAATGAAGTTATTGGTGACCCTTCATGATCTTTTATTTATAGGGTTATATTTACCTATAAATACATTACTATGGTATATTGATGATTCTTGGTTCATTGGGGTGTCCTGTATAGAAATTCCTTATCCCTTTTACAGCTGTTCCTGTATAGGCTCGCTTAGCTGTTGACAATCTAAAGTCTCCTTGTTCTCAATAGCGAGATTAATAAAGCTTCCAAATGATAATTTATGATTGTAATGATGTAGTACTGCAATATTTGTTTCTCTAGAAAGGCAAAGAAATGACACAGATCTGAATAAGATAATCTTGTGGTTGTGAGAAGACACTTGCCTGGCTGTATCATATCATAGCCATATAGCTTGCTAACTGTGTGTCTTAATCACATTTCTATTGCTTTGAAGAGGCACCATGACCAAGGCAGCTTATAAAAGAAAGCATTTAATTGAGGGCTTGCTACAGTTTGAGAGGATGAGTCTATGACCATCTTCATGACAAGAGCACAGTGGCAGGCAGGCAGGCAGGTGACAGTCAGGGCTCTGTAGCCCATAGTTGAGAGCTTACATCTCATTCACAAGAGAGACTGGGCCTGGAGTAAGCTGTAGAAATCTCAAAACCCACCCTCAGTGTCACACTTCCTCCAACAAGGCCACACTTTCCAGTCCCCACCAGACAGTTTCAACATTCAAACACATGAGCCTATGGGAGCCATTCTCATTCAGATCACCACACTATACAATAGGTGTTTTTAGAATATTAGTTTAAAAGAATAACTGTGTAAAGACTAATTGACATAATTCAGTTAAAACAAACAAACAAACAAAACAAAACCCAACTAACATTGGCAGTGAATCTTCTTCCTGAAGAGCTGTTTCCCGAAAGTAGTGGAACCCCCTGTTTTTACCTTTTCCTAAAGTAAACTGGCCCTCTGAGTATGCTGTAGGGGTGTTAGATAGAGTACTTAAAAAAATGCAGTAGAATTGTCAATGTAATTTGCTATCCTTGGGGTGGAGAGCTACCCTAGATTAGATAACCAGTTACTTAGTTACCTGCTTCCCTCCTCTCCTTCCTCTGTCCTCACCTTCCCTGTGTCTTGCTCTCTGTGTCTCCCTGTCTTACTGTCTGTCTCCCATAGATCACTATATCTTTATGTTTCCTTTTATTGTACTGTTCTATACCATATTTATATGAATTTTTACCAGGCCTTAAGATTCATTTTTATGTCTATGAGTACACCATTGCTCTCTTCAGACACACCAGAAGAGAGCACCAGATCCCATTACAGATGGTTGTGAGCCACCATGTGGTTTCTGGGAATTGAACTCAGGACCTCTGGAAGAGCAGTCGGTGCTCTTATCCACTGAGCCATCTCTCCAGCCTTAAGATTCATATACTAAGGATACATATATTAGGTTATAATTGCCTGCTACTAATTTAAATTTTTCTGTATGTTCCCTCTCACTCCCACATCCCAATATGTTTCTCTGTATAGACCTGGCTGTCCTGGGACTCAACTCTGTAGACCAGGTTGGCCTTGACCTTACAGGGATCACCTATCTCTGACTCTTGAGTGTGGCGATTAAAAGCATGAGCCGCCACTGCAAGGCTTTGTATACATTTTTATACAAGGTTTTGCTGTATAGCTCAGGTTAGTCTAGAAATCACTCTAAAGTTCAAGCTGACCTTGAACTTGCAGCAAACTTCCTGCTACAGTTTCTGAAGTACTAGAATTGCAGATAGGTATGACCATGCTTTGCCCTGAAGTTTTAAATGTAAACTTTTTGGTATATTCTGTATATTCCTGACTTAGGGCCTGATACTGGTTTTTTTTTTTCTTTTTCTACAGTGTGTTCAATTCGAGTCATTGGTGAAAGCGACATCATGCAGGAATTCCTGTCTGAATCTGATGAGGTAGGTGAACACCCCGTTCCTGATCATTTCTTGCTGAGCGAGTTATGGGAAAAAATATATAATGTTTGTGAGATGAATTACAAATCAGCTCTGTGAATGAGTGAGTTTCTCCTATTTCCTTTTCGTGTGTATCTACTCTTTAATACCTAGAGCCAGGTTCACCTTCTCTGTCTTTTTGTTTTAATTATTTTTTTAGTTATGCTATAAAATAATAACCTTCATTCTGGTATTTTCAATCACACACATGTATGTGCAGATGCACAGGTCACCGTATTTGCTCGTGTCCCCTTCTCATTATGTCCTTGTCACTTCCCTCTGGCCTCCTCGGCTTCAAGGACTCCTCCTGCTTTGGTCTTTCATTGATATTTTTATGCATTCAAATCCAGAGTCTGCACAGAAGAGAAAAATGGGATGCAGCCTTTCTTTCCTTCTTTCCTTCTGTATCTTTTGTTCCCCTTTCTCTTCTGTTAGACTCCCTTTCCCCTTTCTTGTCCTGTACATATGTTAAAATTAAATTTCAAGTGTGAGAGAAAGCAAACTTGTCTTTCGTTTGAGTCTGGCTGATTGGAATGTGGTGATCTCCAGCTCCACTTGTTTTCCTGTGAGTCTTCTGTTTTCCTCTCAGCTGGAGCTAGAAGTGCTTGCTTCTCTTCACTGTGCTGTTCCTCTGTATATCTGTCTGTCAGTCTCTCTTTTGTTTGCTATTTTTGAAGTTATTTTAAAGGTAATTTTTTCATCTGATGACAAACAGCAGCCACAGTGGGTATTCTGGACCTACATGTTGGTAAATTGTATTTTTTTTAAGTCTCTCTCTGTATTTCTTAGGTTATGTTATGATTATTTCCACATTGTCTGGTGGACCCTGATCATCAGCAAACATGGTGACTTAATCTATTTAGAATGCTATAAAATTGTGTACAAGTGACACAGTGACTGACTGATCTCAAAGCCCCTGAGGCATTGGGTTTAGGAGTCTCTTTTCTGTTGGGGACCTTTTTTTTTTTTTTTTTTTTGGTTTTTTTTTTGTTTTGTTTTGTTTTGTTTTTCGAGACAGGGTTTGTATAGTCCTGGCTGTCCTGGAACTCACTCTGTAGACCAGGCTGGCCTCGAACTCAGAAATCCGCCTGCCTCTGCCTCCCAAGTGCTGGAACTAAAGGCGTGCGCCACCACTGCCCGGCTTGTTGGGGACCTTCTTAATGGATATGTGGCAGGACTAATTGAAAATTCATTGCCATAATTCTACTGCTGTGAGAAAATGCTGGAATCCTCTCTTCTCCCCTTCTCTCTTCTCCCTTCCCTTCTCCTCCCCCTGTCTCCCTCTTTTCTTCTTCCTCTCCCCTCCCCTTTCCCTTTCTCTTTTTCTTTCCCCCCTCTTCCTTTTCTCTCTCCTCCCCTTCTCCACTTCTCTGTCTCTAAGTAAAAGCATGGCTCATATTTTATGGTAAAGAGAAAACAAAATTTCATTCCTTTTAGTAACCATATTTCTCCATTCATAGCTAAGCGTCTTAAAAAGGATGTTCTATTTTACTGCCATTTCCATACTTAAAAGTTTGAAACCAGCCGGGCGGTGGTGGCGCACGCCTTTAATCCCAGCACTTGGGAGGCAGAGACAGGCGGATTTCTGAGTTCGAGGCCAGCCTGGTCTACAGAGTGAGTTCCAGAACAGCCAGAACTACACAGAGAAACCCTGTCTCAAAAAAACCAAAAAAAAAAAAAGAAAAAAAAAAGAAGTTTGAAACCTTCCCACAGTTTTCAGGATTCAGTTTGAACTCTTACATGGCACTCACAAGGCCCATCATGACCTGGTCCCTCTCCATCTGTCTAATCTTATTCCCTACCATTGTCTAATATATTGTTAGTCCAAACATTTTGGAACTTTTATTTTTCCTTTATGTTGCTACAACTCAAACCTCAAAACTCATACATGCCAACCAAATGTTCTGCCACTGTGCCACATCTCCAAACCTATGAAATATGTTTTAGCATTTATTATTTATTATATGTATATTCTGTACACGCAGTGTAGTGCAGTACATTACAACATGGTAGACAACTTGGGAAACAGTTGCTTCCCTTCCTTCCACCATGTAGGTTTTGGGGACCAAACTCATCAAGGACATCAAGTTTAGTGGGATGCCTTTATCAGCTGAGCCAGCCTACTGGCCTTCTCATTGGCTGTGGAGTATTGCTGATTTTCTTAGTCCATTATGCACTTCCCTAGTGTTTATGGTGTCTTCCAGGGAACCTTCCCTCCATTCCATGCCTGTCCTTTCCGTCACTGATCCTTTACAGCAAGTCAAAGGTCACTCCTCTCTGACCACCCGTCTGGGGCTCTGTACTTTTCAGCTGTTTTTATCAACTCCCCTTGCAATCCCTCAGGCTCTGCTCTGTCTGTCTTGGGAATGGAATCTATTCTTTGTTACTTTGACTTTCCTCATTCACTGTTATGCAGAGGAGCTTCTAATCTGCCATTTTCCTGGCCCACCTCTTTGAAGTCTTCCCTGATGGATGACTCAAGTCATCAATTTTTCATCCTCCAAAGAGCTTCTGCAGTTAGTATAACTCAGTCATCATTGTATTGCCATCTCATTTCTAACTTTTATACATATAATCAGTTTGTCACTTTATATTTTTAGCTTACAAGAGTGTGTGAGCTACCAGTAGGTAAGAGCTAAATCTTGATTATCTTCCTATTCCCAGTGCCTTACCACAGTATCGTGCATGGTGGAGGTGCTCAGTAAGTGTCAGTGGGCTCGAAGGGTGGTTATGTGATACTGTGATCCAGCGGTTATTCTTTATGTGTATCTCTTGCTTTCCTGACGTGGTTATCGGTTTCCTGTAGATAAGGGTATAAAGTATAATAGTGCCCTCTCTTTATCCACGGTTGTACTGTCTACAGTTTGTTATCTGTGGTCAGCTGTGCTCTAAACATATAAATACAGTATGTTAGAAATAAACACCATGTAAACTTCAAATTGTGTGGTATTCTGAGTACCACAATAAAGCTTTATGTCCATTCCATGCTGTCCCCTGAATGGGCTGTCCAGTATGTTTACTGTGTATCTGCCACCTGTCTGGGAGTCACCTAGGAGTTTGGTCAGTCATCAGATTGCCTGCACCAGCATCACTTCCTTGCTGTATTCAAATAACTCTTAATCCTTCAAAGCAAGAGAGTGGTTTTGTTAGCAGTACATAGGCCAAAGGGAGCCATGGAGTACTTGCCTTGCAACAGTAAGAAAAAGAATTCTGGTGAGATTGCTGAGGTCTGAGGGAATGTCTCTTCTGTCGATGAAATTATGGACAAGAAAAAATAAATTTATACTGGTTTTGCTGAAGCACTTTAAACTGTAAAAGTTACAGCCATAGTATGTGACAGTTGCTTAGTGCAGGTGGGAACAGCATTCATTAAGGGTGTCAATATTAACCATGTTTCCTGGCATCTCTTGTGGATCTTAGAACATAAACCCTGTGGGTAAGGAGGAAGCTTTCATAATGCTTAGGGTGCTTTTAAGCAAAGAGTAGTAATATTTTTAATGGTCAATGAAAATGAACTTATTCCTAGGTGATTATTTTTCAGTAATAAAAATTAGAAGATCAAAATCTTTTAGAAGTTGGGTATGGTGGTTCATTCCTATAACCCCAGCATTCTAGAGATCAAGGGAGGAAGATGGACGGCTTTCAGTTCATGGTGTGTGTCTTGGCTACAAGGCAAAACTGTGTCTCAAAAAACCAACCAAAAGATAAACTATTAGAAAAATGTGTTGAGGCTAGAAATGGTTCAGCAGCTTAGAAGCCTTTGTTGCTCATGTAGAAGACCTGGGTTCAATTCCCAGCAAGTGAATGGTGGCTCCCAGCTAATCTGCCCAAGGTCTTCCTGACCTCTGTGAGCACTGGGCATACACATGGTGCACATACACACACATGTAGCCAGCACCGAAACTCATGAAATAAATCTAAAAAATTTAAAAGAAGAAATATGTGTTATCATCAAAACCAATGAGGATTGTGGGTCATTTTTGTTTTTGTATTTTTGGTGGGTTTGTGGTGTGTGTGTGTGTGGTGCTAGAGCCATAAACATTCTAGGCAAGCGTTCTCTCTAGAGTAAGAATTGTATTTGCTAGAATATTGGGTATGACACAATTTACATCTGAGTTTCATCTGTTTTGCGTTTTGAAGATGGTCTGGTCATATCAAGGTTCAGAGAGGACATCAGCATGGGCCTTTAGCCTGTCTAGCTGCCTAACTACTCAACCAGTGTGAGACAGCTTTGTTCTCCTGTCTCTCACTTCTTTGTAAGTTCTAAATGGAGTGACAAGAGGGAGCCGAAATCTCATCTGGGCGTCACCTAGACTATTGCAGCAGGATTCTGTTTTGAAGTGGCAACATATCTGTTCATCTTAGACTATAACTTTTACAACTTAAAGTCAGCTTTATGAGTTGTAAATATATTAACTTTTAAGACTTCTGTTTTTTTCTTGTTTTAATAGAATTACTTCCTGTCTCTTATGTTAGATATTATTTAGCTAGCATGTAGCAAGGAGAATGAAGATTTACTAAGATGCAAATTCTTTCTTTGTCTTCCTTTAGAATTACAATGGTGTGTCTGATGTCGAGCTGAGAGTAGCATTACCGGATGGAACAGCTGTTACTGTCAGAGTTAAAAAGAACAGTACTACAGACCAAGTGTACCAGGTAATGTCAACTTGACATTGGATGGTGTGAAGCTAAAAAAAAAAATTAAATGAGTTAATACATACAAAATGTGCAGAGTACACTTACTAATTCATATTACTACTGTGAAGTTAACTTTGTCCTTCTTGAAAGGAAGGTGTATGAGAACTGGGTGTATTGGCATGGGCATTGTATGCTTGTAATCTCAGTACTTGGGATTAAGAATTCTGCAAGTACTAGAGTATTCAGGAATATAAAACAAAACCTTGTATTTTTTTTTTAAAGTACAATAAATACCCTAGAGTGCAATGGTTATAACTTACTCTTCCTCCTCTTTTGTTGTTGTTGTAGTTAAAAAACAAACAAACAAACAAACCAAAAAGAGTGTGTGTGTGTGTGTGTGTGTGTGTGTGTATGTATGTATGTATGTGTATATACTTGTGTGCATATTTGTGGAGACTGGAGGTTACATTGATGTGTTCCTAAACATTACGTGTCCTCTATCACTCTCTGTCTTACTCCTTTGAGACAGAATCTCTAGGCCAGTGGCCAGCAAACTCCAGCAATCCTCCTGGCTTCACCCCCAATAGTGCTGGGATTACAGTCTTGAATGCATATATGTTTATGCTCACTTTTTTATTTGGTTGTGTGTGTGGGAGGGTTCAAACTCAGATTCTCATGCTTGTTAGCAAGTGTTCTCACCCACTAACCCATCTTTCTAGTCTCTTGTAAAAGAAAAAAAAAAACCTCGTGTGTATGTTACATGTGTATGTGCCTGTGGTGCACATGTGTGTTCAGATGTACATGCTTGTGGAAACCAGAAGTTGACAGTAGGTGTCTTCTTAGATTGCTTCTCCACCTTACAGACTAAGGCAGGGTCTCTTGCTAAACTGGAGCTTGGTGATTTGACTAGTCTTTCTAGCCAATTTGAACTAGGAACTCCTTGTCTTTACCTCATGGGGGTTGGATTACAGGGAGTCCTTAGAGCTCCCAGCATTTATGTAGGCACTAGAGATCTGAACTGTGTTTCTCACACTTGCACTGCAAGTGTTTTTCCCACAAAGCTATTTTTTCCAGTCCTCTAAAGGACTTGTTTTAAACATATGTAAAATCAGAATAGAATCAAATCATAAGTTTCCCTATATACTTTTTTTTATTATGTGAGATATAAAACCCGGGGACTTGGGCATGCTGCAAAAGTGCTCTACCACTGAGCTATACTCCCAGTTCCTTTATCGGTCATATTTAGTAACAATCCAGGTCTTGCCACACTTACATCATGTACCCTTTTTTCCTTTCCCTTTACGGTTTTTTGTTTGTTTGTTTGTTTTTGGTTTGGTTTGTTTTTTTAAGCAAACACCATGGTAGAGCTGTGTGTACTTCAGCATACATCTAAAACACATTCTTTGTCCAATGTGCCATTATCAAATTTTAAAAAGAGCACTACTTCTTTTAACTCCATAGTTAGAATTTTTCAGTTATAAAAATGATTTTTATAGTTGCTTTGTTAAATCTGGATCTAAGCAGGTACTTATCTCTGTGCACTTTTGTTTCATTTACTGTAAGCTGTCTCCCTTCCCTTCCCTGCTTTGTGTGTACACATGTGGATGTTGGGTCATTCTGAGCTTGCCTTCGTGTTTCCTTGTAGGTCGTTGATCATGTCCTTCTAGTTCCCTGCGTTTCCGATGAATAGAAATGTGCTCTAGAGGCTTTATTATATTCAAGTTCTGTTTTTAAATACAAAATTCAAATGCTTCCTAATGAGGCTGTAACAAAATATAGTACGTTGTTTCTCAGTGGACACTGCCCAGTCTGTAGTTGTGATACATGGTATGTGACTCATTAGCAGTTTAGTGGTGATTACCTGATCTCTTCACTACGGAATGTCTGTGCATCGATAATTGTTGCCTCCATCAACAATTTGTAAAAGCTGCAAAGTGCTGGTTTTCGGTTCTCAATCCCTCTTTTTTTTTCTTACATAGCTATAATTCTATAAGTAACTTTCCCTAGAAAAATAACAAATTAGAGAAAAGCTGTTTGAGGGGGAGAAAGGATAAATATTTAATCATTTCCTTTACTGCTAATTTTCAGGGTTAAGAATTGATGCCTTAGTTATTACCATTGTCTGCTTTGTGCTTTTTTTTTCTTTTTGTTATGTATATGAAATTTCAATTTTGATTTATTTGTACATGAAGTCCTTAGTTTCCAGAAAGGATTAATTGGTTCTTGTTTAATATGCTGCTTGTCAACATTTTGTTACTTCATGAACATTTTGTTCATGAAGATTTTAGTGATTGTAATTTTTAAGAAAGAGGTACATTGTCCTCAGTTTAGAACATATATCATCTGAAAAATAAAAATGGCTTGTAAATTCTGACAAGAATTAACAATGCTTTAAGCTCAAGAATCAAACACAGAAATACACAGATCTAGTTCCAGGTGAGGAAGACCACTTGAGTCTAGGAGTTCAAGGCTGGTAGCCAACATAGAGAAATCCTATCTCTAAACCAAACAAAAATCAAAGGTTGAGGGGTCTGGAGAGATGGCTTAGCAGCCATAGTGCTGGCTGCTCTTTCAGAAGACCTGGGTTTGATTCCCAACACTCACATGGCTGTTTATAACTATCCATAACTGCATTCTTGGGGATCTGCATCTTCTGGCTTTCATGGGCAACAGTTAGACAGATGCCGGGCGGTGGTGGCGCACACCTTTAATCCCAGCACTTGGGAGGCAGAGGCAGGCAGATTTCTGAGTTCGAGGCCAGCCTGGTCTACAGAGTGAGTTCCAGGACAGCCAGGGCTACACAGAGAAACCCTGTCTCGAAAAACAAACAAACAAACAAACAAAAAGAAAGAAAGAAGAAAAAACAACAAAAAACAGACAGACATGCAGGCAAAACACTCACACACATACAATAAACATAAATAAATAGTCAAAGGTTGAGATCTTGTATGTTAATAGCCTATAGTAAACGTAAAAGCTGAATGTGTGAGACTGGGTATCAGAGAATTTGTTCTCAGGTGTAATGAAGTGACTGAGTGGATAAAGGCATTTTCCTGTAAGCCTAACAACCTGAGTGTAATCCTTGGGACACACATGGTTGGAGGAGAGCTGATTCTTGCAAGTTGTTCTCTGACTTCCATATAAGCTCACCATCCCCATACACAGCCACACACACACATTCTAAAATAAACATTTCAAATATTTTTTTAAAATAGTTTTTATTTTATGATCTGTCTTATCAAGTGTATTTCTTTTTATTTTTTTATTTTTTTTGGTTTTTCGAGACAGGGTTTCTCTGTATAACCTGGGCTGTCCTAGAACTTACTCTGTAGACCAGGCTGGCCTCTGCCTCCCAAGTGCTGGGATTAAAGGCCTGTGCTACCACTGCCAGGCAAGTGTATTTCTTTAAGTGATATAAAAGACCTTTGTGAGGGCTGGAGAGATAACTCAGTTCTAAGTGGTTCATTGTCTTTTTCTGGTGTCTGTGACTAACCACATATCCACATACATATGGCATCATTCACACAGACACACACACATACACATTAGTAAAAATATATCTAAAAAAAATCTTTGTGAAATTAATCCATATTTGAGAAAGGATATTTGACACTAAGGAGGAACTATTGCTGACTTGTATCAAAGAGACAGTTGCTCATGGAAGAGAGAGGACAGCTTATATTTGGGTTTGTGCATCTGTGTGCACACGTGCACCTTAAGGATACCTGTGGGCCATGGTAGTTTTTATAAAGCCAGGATACAGTGTCTTCTTTCCCTCTGCTTGTGCATGTACCCGCCCCCATAGCATTGTTTGTTCTTACTTTTCCTGAAATAATTGTATCCTGTTTAAACTTCAGGCTATTGCAGCAAAGGTTGGCATGGACAGTACAACAGTGAATTACTTTGCCTTATTTGAAGTGATCAATCATTCCTTTGGTAAGTGCCAATAGCTGTTACTGTATTTTGTTTGGGGGTGTTTTAGTCTAATACTGTTGGACAAAAACTGCTGAGAGGAGAGCCCACTTATTAATACTGTCTTCAGCAAGCATGCTTGGCAGATCTTATAAAGAATTTCTGATCAGTATTCATCCATTTTCTTCTTTTGTCAGTATATAGTAACTTTGAAAATTTGGGAGCAGCTATCTTCCTATTAATTTTCTTCCCAACTCTCAGTGTCCTAATACACAGTTATCAATTGTGTTGTAAAGAATTGGTAAGATGCCAGGATGCTTGGATTCTAATCTTATCCTTTGTAAGCTTTCTGTAAAGGAGAAATACTGAGTCTGTCTTTCGCAGTGTTGTAAAGCCAGGTAAGAAAGCCTCAAGAAAGATTAGGAGAGCTAGTGTAGATTTGGAAGGAGTTAAGCGAGGCATGGAGGCACACTGTGATCCAGCCACAGTGGAGCCAGGCTGGTCAGACGCTGCTCAGTAGACACCTGGAGTGTGAGAAACGCCTTAGGATTTGGGAAGTGGATGAGAAGTACCTTTTATTTCTGTATGGATAAATGCTGTACACTGTGAATGGCCCATAGCTGGGTAAGAGAAGAGGCTGCTCTGAAGATGTTTGGTGGACCTAGCATGTCCACTTAGATGTTTGTAATGTAACAGGTCATAGATCAAACATTTTAACTGAATTTGGAGTTGGCACTCTCTCCGCAGTCATGTTATCTAAAGGACCTGTTATCTAAGCAGCAGATTTCACTCATTTGCTTTACTGGCTAGACTCATAGTTAGAAAGAGTGGATTTGGCTGGGCATTTGGTTGTTTTCTGCTCCTGAGGTAGATAGACTTGCTTGATGAATTGGAGCTGATGTTCTAATTAATGACAGTCTACCATTGTTGGTCTGCTGAGTACAGTTTCTAGTAGGAAAACTCCTATACATATCTCCACTCAGCTTTCTTTGTTTTGTCTTCTTCAGTACGTAAGCTGGCACCTAATGAATTTCCTCATAAACTCTACGTCCAGAATTATACGTCAGCTGTGCCAGGCACCTGCCTGACCATTCGCAAGTGGCTCTTTACAACAGAAGAAGAAGTCCTCTTAAATGACAATGACCTTGCTGTTACATACTTCTTTCATCAGGTGGGTGAATAAGTCTTCCTGCTAAAAGCTAGGTTCTTTTCTTGTATAGTTAGTAATTTGACTGTTCAGTGTGAATCCTTGGGTCGAAGTAGTACTTAGAATTTCTAAAGCAATATTATATATATTATGTGGGGCTGAGAAAAGCAAAATGTATGGCTTTTACTTCATTCTTATATCACAAAATCAATGCAAAGACTTTTGTGACGTCAAAGGGTATAGGAATTTGACCCTACCAGCATGTGTATTATGATTCTTCGGTGGATACCACTCTACACATCATTAAATGTAATGCAGTTCTGACACTATCTGCCTGGAAATATCAAATCCCACAGGTCAAGGGCTAAATTCCTCAAACTGCCCCCATTTTAGACCTAGTTTCAAGTCCTCTAAGCCTGGTAAGCTGTTTGCTGCAATCAGATTTCCATGAACACACACACACACACACACACACACACACACACACAGCTGGTTTAAATAATTTGCAGTACTCACAGAGCTCAGGAAATTTGATATTTACTAGATATTTTAAAGGACATGAATAAATAAGAAATACAGTTATGTATAGTAAGCCCAAAAAAGTCTAAAGCATAGGACCTTCCAACTTGGAAGAGTTGGGAGTAAACTGCATTCCTGGCAAGTGGATGAATTCTCATGTTCACTGTCCTGCAAACTGGCCATGTTAAGTAGTCCAGGAGCTTCATCTTTTGGGTTTTGGATTGTGTGTGTGTATCTGTGTGTCTGTCTGTCTGTTTGTCTTTCTGTGTGTGTTATATGTATGTGATACATGCATTTAAATGTGCCACTGTGCATGCCAGTATACGCATACACTGGGGCCAGAGCAGAACATCAAGTACCTTTGTCTTAGGGTTTCCATTCTTGCACAAACATCATGACCAAGAAACAATTGGGGAGGAAAGGATTTATTCAGCTTACACTTCCACATTGCTGTTCATCACCAAAGGAGGTCAGGACTGGAACTCAAGCAGGTCAGGATGCAGGAGCTGATGCAGAGGCCATGGAGGGATGTTACTTACTGGCTTGCTCAGCCTGCTTTCTTATAGAACCCAAGACTACCACCCCAGGAATGGTACCACTCACAATGGCCCCTCCCCCCTTGATCACTAATTGAGAAAATACCTTACTGCTGGATCTCATGGAGGCATTTCCTCAAGGGAGTCTCCCCTCTCCGTGATGACTCCAGCTTGTGTCAAGTTGACACAAAACCAGCTAGTAAAATTGACCTCTTGTCAACTTGACACATAAACACATCACTATTAAGCCTCAACCCTTACTTTCTTATTCATCCCCAAGATCTAAATAACTTTAAAAGTCTCAGTCTTTGCAAATTCTTACATATTAAAATTTCAGTCCCTTTAAAAAGAATATCCAATGTCTTTTAAAATCCAAAGTCTTTTTACAATTAAAAATCTCTTTAACTGTGGGCTCTTCTAAAATACTTTCTTCCTTCAAGAGGGAAAAAGATCAGGGCACAATCACAATCAAAAGTAAACTCAAACTCCAACCGTCCAACGTCTGGGACCCACTCACAATCTTCTGGGCTCCTCCAAGGGCTTGGGTCACTTCTCCAGCTCTGCCCTTTGTAGCACACACCTTGTCTTTAGGCTCCAGCTGCCTGTACTCCACTGCTGCTGCTGTTCTTGGTGGTCATCTCATGCTACTGGCATCTCCAAACACTGCTGCCGTCCACTGCAACCAGGCTTTACCAATGGCCTCTCACAGACTCTCTTCATGGTGCCAAACCTCAGCTCTTTTGCATGACCCCTTCAATCCTGGGCCATCAATTGCAACTGAGGCTGCAACTTCACCAATGGCCTTCTGCGGCCTCTTACAGTGCCAAGCCTCAGCTGTTCTTCATGATCCCTTCATTCCTTCAAAACCAGTACCACCTGGCTGACTCTTACACATTACCAAGTCCAGCCACAGCATGAGGTACAACTGTGACTATCTCTGGAACACAGCCTCTGTGCTCTTAAAAAAAAACCTCCCAGAAGATGTTACTTCAGTGATGCTGGTCTCTTCTTAATCACCACTAATTTCTTAGCTCCAGCTGACCGGCATCAATTGTCCCAGTAATCTACAGGTTTAACTTTAGTAGTTCTGGTATCTTGTTAATCATAGCTGATGCTTCAGCCCCAGCTAACCAAAACCACAGAATCTTCACAATCAAAATAGCAACAGCCCTGATAAGAGACTTTAATCTTCCCTCTGAAATTTCACAAGCCAGGCCTCCATCTTCTGCAGTGTTCTCAACATTATCTTCCAAGCTCCTACAGAATATCCCACAGAGCTCTTAACATTCCAATGGCTCTTCTAGCAAAAAGTTCCAGTCTTTCCACGGTCCTCCCCAAAACATGGTCAGTTTGTCACAGGAATACCCCCACTATGCTGGTACCTACTTGTCTTAGTCAGGGTTTCTATTCCTGCACAAATATCATGATCAAGAAGCAAGTTGGGGAGGAAAGGGTTTATTCAGCTTACACTTCCACATTACTGTTCATCACCAAAGGAAATCAGGACAGGAACTCAAGCAGGTCAGGAAGCAGGAGCTGATGGAGAGACCATGGAGGGATGTTATTTACTATCTTGCTTCTTCTAGCTTGTTCAGCCTGCTTTTTTATAGAACCCAAGACTACCAGCCCAGAAATGGCACCACCCACAATGGGCCCTCCCCCCTTGATCAGTAATTGAGAAAATGCCTTACTGCTGGATCTCATGGAGGCATTTCCTCAACTGAAGTTCCCCTCTCCGTGATAACTCCAGCCTGTGTCAAATTGACATAAAACCAGCCAGTACAGCCTTCCTTACTCATCCTCTGTGTTCTTGTCTTGAGATAGAATCTTTCACTGAACCAGAAGCTCATCTTTTAGGTTATGATGATTAGCCAGTGATCTCTGGATCTGCCTGTCTCCTCCCCATGATGCTTAGATTCAAACTAGGATGCTTGTAGAGCAAGCACTTTCACCCTCTGAGTCATCTCCCTTCCTTTTGGTTGTGTGTGTTTGTGTGTGTGTTAACAGGGACTTAATACATGGACATGACTGTAATATAAACAACCATAGTAAAATGTGATTGGATATACAAGATTTGGTTTAATGCTGTTAGATTTGATGGTGATACCCAGGTTGACCTGTCTGTATAGCATTCCTTTTTCATAGTCCAGACCTAAGGTTCCCTTCATGAATGGGGATGTTATCATAAGAATGTTTTCCTTCATTTGTGTGAAGAGCGGGGTAATGTGAGTGAGCATAAATGCCTATGTGTGTGGAAGCCAGAAGTCAGCGTTTGCTGTTCCTTAGGAATTTTCCTTTGTCTTTGAGGTGTGGTCTTTCGCAAGGCTTGAGAAACATCATTTATGCTAGTCTGGCTGGCTAGCAAATCCCAGAGTTCCTGCTGTCATTGCCTACCCCAGGACTAAGGTTACAAGTGTTTGCCCCACATACTTATATCATATTAAAACCCTCTGGACCACTGTGCATTGGACTTTAGCCAAAACTTTATTAATCACCTCACCTCCCTAAGCCCCTACTTTAACTGGAGGGACATGATACTTCTTGGGGTCTTTAAGAATCAATGTCAATTCAGAACCAGTATCCAATTGACCCTGGGAAGTCTGATTGTTTCCTTTCTCCCAGAATACAGTGACCCTTGTAAAAGTCTGTAGGTCCCTCTAGGAAAGAACTAGTGAAAGGCTAACAGTAACTCTTAAGGACTTTACTAAGGTCCTTTTGTTCAAGGGATTCTGGATCTGCAAACTGGTTCAATTCTGGTAATTGGGTCACAGGCGGAGATTTCCCCTTACCTCCCAGTATTATATCCTTTCTTATATTTGTTTGAGTTTTTCTGGTTTACAGATCAACAGAAATGCTGTAGGCTTCTTATCTATTTCATGCCTGTAAACACTACAACTGATTAGTCAGTACCAAAAAGGTCCACTAAGGTCACGCTACTATAAAAATCACTTTGCCAATGCTGACCATTACAGGTTAGACCATTATAGTAGCTTTGCTTGCCTTGCCTTGCCTTTCATGACTTGGTGCTGCTGTCTGGCCCCTGCTACCCGAGGGCCCAGTTAAACCCATTACATTGTATTCATCCAGCTGAGTACTGGCATCTCCAGCTTTAAGGTCTGGCACAAGGAAAAGGTGACAACAAAGCCCTTCAAAAGTCCCAGTGCCCCTCTCACCATTTTGTGTTGTATAGTATTACTGAAGGGTATGTCTTCTGGGCCTTCTTATTTTGTAGGATTAGATACACAGTGTATCCACTTTAGCATTGCAATTTCCCTGAGCCTTAAAATCCTCATCAACACTGAGCCAATGGATATCCGGAATCTTCAGGAATCTTTTCTTTAGCCTATCTTTTGGCAAATCCTTCTGCCAACCAGTCAAACTTTTGATACCTTTTAATTGCATGAGCTTCCATATTAAACCTAGAGTCTCCACTTAGAGGGTCCATATGTATAAACTCAGCCTGATTGATCGAGTTTTATATTTCTCTACCTTACTCAATACTCTTAAAATCCATTCCCATTAATATTCTTAAGATTTATGTTTGAATGAATTAGCAAACTCATTAAGCCCTTTAGTGATATGGTGCACTCCTTCATGACCACACCTTTGATCTTCCCTTTAGGAGCTTGCCTAGCCTTAAGTCTAGTTATGGGTTTAGAGGTGACTATTGATGGGCCCTGAGGGACATCAAGATTGGCTTGCTTGGTGTCTCCTTCAGAGAAAATCACTGCTGCTTCAGCATACAGTGAACAGTTAATTCCTCCAGGCAAAGGTGGAGAGGGCAATACTTCAGGGGTTGGGGGTACATCCTCCACTAAGCGTGGGGAGACTACTTCCTCATATGAGTTAAACCCCTGAGAATCTGAGGGTTCAAAGTTCTTAGCTTTGGGTTCTCCCACAAATCTTCATCCCAAGTTTAGAAGATCCTGTTCCTGCCTATCAGTGTCCTTAAACACTGGGGCCCTCTGG